AGAGAGAGAGAGAGAGAGAGAGAGAGAGAGATAGTTTTTATCAATAAAAAAGACGAGGAGACCTTTCGGGACTAATGGACTATCCTGTAGAAGTCTTATCATGTCGCTAAACCTCGGACTCAATTCTCAGGCTCTGATAAAGGATCACCAGATGCCAAAAGAAGAGGGATCGTTGCTGCTTTTGATCTAAAGGCGAGACCTCGATCCATTTCCAGTATTCGCTCAAGTTCAAGGCATGAAACAGCTAGATAAACTACGTCCTGAAATACGATTGCCTGAAGTGATGACAGCCCATTTTTCATTTACTTTGATGCAAAAAATAATCCTTTAAGTGTGTGGTAAATTATAGGTGTACTGTTAAAATATACGCATGTAATAAATATTTTTGAATTTTTAAATAAAAGTATGACCAGATAAATAATGTCTGCCAAGAAGGTAACATTATAGGCTATAATTTAGTGATTCTTGCATGAACGTCTCAAAACGGAGAAGCTAAAGACCCCTCCCCCCCAAAAAAAACAACCCAAAACAACAACAACAAAAAAACAAACAACAACAACAAACCCCCCCCACAACAAAACAACCCCAACCCAACCCAACAGACACGAAGACAAATGAACAACGAAATAAGCGACATCATAAAGCTTATTTCTGAGGTCTTACTGTTTAGCATGTTGACTTTGGCGCTGGTGACCTGCAAGTCCGAGGTCCGACACACGTAGGTCCCCCCGTCCCTCATTGTGGTGCGCCGGACCTTCAGCAAGCTCATGATGGTGCCCTCTGACAACGACACATCTTTGCTTAGGGTCACTCGGTCACTGAGGAAGATAATAAGCGGGTCATTTGGGTGGCATTGGTAGGTCGATGCAACAATAAAGCTACTTTACATAAGCTCATGATGGTACCCTCTGACAACGAGACATCTTTGCTTAGGGTCACTCGGTCACTGAGGAAGATAATAAGCGGGTTATGTGAGGGTGGCCTTGGTAGGTCGTTGCAACAATAAAGCTACTTTACATAAATCATCCTCCCAACGTCATTTTGTCTATCAGTTTGCTTTTTTTCCTTGCACGAAAATGAATGGTCTACTCTGTGTTGATGTACTCAACTTTTTACTGAAATAAACAAAGACGATAATTGTAAATACGTGTACATGAAAGTTGTGAATGTTGCCACCCTTCAATGAAATTTAAATTACATTATATCAGAGAAAGTTCGAAATTTAGATCTCGTAAGAAGATGTTGCTCCGACACTGCCTGCTTGGGTCAAACGGCGTGGTTTTAGATACTACATCGAAGAAGAGAGAAGGAGTTAGTCTATAAAATTAAATTGCTTCGAGTAGGAATCTCACCTCATGTCTTGTGCATACCTGGCAAAAAGCCATTACAACAAAGACGCTGCTCACAAAGGCAAAGAAAGATACAACAAAGCCTTCAAAGGTAGCCCACCAGCAACAACCTTTCCAGTTTCATAAGTGTACAAGACACCCGCTTATTGCACGATTACGTCTTGAAATTGCAGTTGATTGCGAATGAACATATTATAATATTGTTTTAAAAAATTGATCACGAATATTTATAAACAATTGAAAGAAATCTTTGTTTCACCCACGATATGCAGAAGGCTAGATCTGTAACGCCTCTGTTCGGCGGTCGCAAGTCTGAAACAACCACTGTTCGCACGAAGGAAGCAAGGAGACCCAACACAAAATGGCTATATATTATTTTATTGGAGGCGTGCTTTAATGTCCGAATGTATACGATGATAGCCATTAAATTATTCCTTTTACACTTTCTTGATGTGTGGTACAAATGTGAAGACAGGTTAAGGACAAGATTGAAATAACACACACAAAAAAAAACAAAAAACAAAAAAGAAGACAGCAACAACAACAACAACAAACTGTCTTATTTTTGTTGGAGTCGGAAAAATCTACCTTTCCCTTTTGACACTCGACATATCAATTTAAAGCCAGCGCAAGCCTCTTGCAGACAGCCCTGAGAGTTGATCTTCTGCAAACCAAACGAAAAATAGCCTTGTTCGTGGGTTCTCTCTAACTAGCGTCTTAAAAAAAACAACCAAACTGCACTCAAGTTGATACGCTTTCATACCAGAACGGGTGTGGGAGAGGAGGAAAGAGTTTTTTTTTCACTACCAAATTACTTAATTTTTTCTATTTCACTTTTTGCTTTCGTTTTTGAGATTTCTTTTTCAGGGAGGAGTGGAGTGAGAAACTATTTCAGTTTTGTTTTGTGAGAGTGATAGGAATGGAGTGGGTGGAAGAAAGAAGTCAGCTGTAATTGAAAGCGTCCGAACGATAAACTCGACTCGAGTTAAGTCAGGATTGCAACACCACGGAAGTGTTTAGAGCCAAGCAGGTCCAAGTAAGCAACGTTGACGTCTAACACAGGTATTACTGTCTATGCACCCCACCCCCTCCTCCCCCGCCATCAGACCAGTTTACACAACGGTAACGAACAAGTTGGGCTGCAATGGGATGATATAGAAATGAAATCAAATTCTTGGAGTGAGATTACACATGGGTAAAATGACTAGGTTCTCACGAACACACAAATAAACACACACAAACACACACACACAAAACAAACACACACACACAAACACACACAAACACAAATACCGACCGGCGCTCTCATGCGGTTCACCTCACCCCGTCTTCAGCTCACCAACACCTACACCTACACTTGCTCATTCATTCTCTTTCCCCGCCTCCTGAACTCAGACACACGCACACTATCACGGCATATACCCTGCCTCTCATGACGGAATAACCAATCATGCACACACACACACACACACACACACACACACACACACACACACAG